TCAAAGCCCATCTTCCCCTGTCTGCTGCCACCACGGCTGAGCCCTCCTCCTTTGCTAAGAGGGTTCGAAAAAAATACAGAAAGAATGGAAGTCATAAAAAGGGAGTATGGGGCAAAGGGAGATTAGTAGGAGAGAGGTAAGTGAAGGAGGAGTGATAGAGGGATGGAGAGATAAGAGGCTAGTGGGAGAATTAGAAGGTGCTAGAGTGAAGATACCCTGTTTGGTGTAGTGGATAGAGTGATGGGCTAGGACTGAGGGTTTGAATCCCCACTCATCCACAGAAGCTCACCGGGGGAGTGGAACTAATACAACCACTCCTTAAATATCTCACTTACCTTGAAAGACCTCTTAGGGTTGCTGTAAGTCGGTTCCAACTTGACAGCCCAGAACAACAACAGAGAGAGGGAAAATGTGGAGGGGGGGAGAGAAAGAGAGGCTAAGGGAGAGGACAAGAAGAGTTAAAACGGAGACAGATCACTTACCTTGAAAGACCTCTTAGGGTTGTTGTAAGTCCGGTTCCAACTTGACAGCACAGAACAACAATAGAGAGAGGGAAAATGGGGGGGGAGAGAGAAAGAGGGAAGGAGGCGAGGCTGATAGAGGTGGAGGTTGAAAAGAGAGGCTAAGGGAGAGGGCAAGAAGAGTTAAAACGGAGACAGGACGGGGCTAAGGAGCGAAAGATAAGGAGTTAAAGAGGGAGCGAGGGAGGGAGGGAGAAGGTATAGGAAAGAGGAATAGAAAGAAAAAGGGAGAGAGGTGGAGATTAGAAAGAGAGAAAGTGGGGAAGAGGATGAAGGGGTAAGAAAATGAGAGGAAAGGGGGTTATTGAGGAGGAGGAGGTGTGCGAGAGCGAAAGTGAGAGCAACAGCGAGAAATACATGCATGGAAGAGAGAAAGAGGGAGAAGAGGAGGGAAAGAGAATTAAGAAGGGAGGAGAGAAGTGACAGCTCCACTGGTTGCCAGGGAGTAGCACCCAGCAGATCTCCTAAGAATGTGACCCTCCCTTGCATGAATCCCAGTTCCTCGCTGCTGGGTTAATAAGCAATGTAATTAATTTCTCACCACATGATTCAAAAAGGAGGGCAGCGAAAGGTGGGACTTTGGCTGCCAGTCATTAGCCTTCACGAACGCTCTCCATCTTCTTCCCGGGCTGGCAGTTAGAGAGACAAGGCTGTGGAAACAAAGGAAACCCCATGGGTCTCCCCTGGGTCTCCTTGAAGACATTAAGCTGTTCTCCCTGCCCTGTGCTCTCTTGAAATGGCGAGCGTGCCAAGCGTTGTCGGCGGCTGGCCGTCCTTACTGCAGACGAGCGAAGCCCCTGTTTACAGAGGAAGGGGCATTGGAGAGGGAGGTCTCTGCAGCTCGGTGCTTTGTCGTGTTGGAGTGGGCACAGGCTGATGATGCTGTAATATCTGAAGAGCCACATAGTCCCTGCCCCTGGATTATGTGGATGACGAGCATGCCAAAATTCGAATCTTGCACCTGTGGATTTTTCAAAGTTTAATTCATGTTGCATAGCTTTCAGTTTCCGGTTGTGTTCCTCTAGCTACACAGCAGAAGGATTCACCGAGAAGAATAGCTTCCCCCAGAGTAGCCCACCCCTTTTCTTATTAACTGGCACTTACAACCTCAGTAACACACTCTGAGACATTAATGAAAGAATATAACATGTTTCATTACTTACAGTTGTGAACCGATCAACAGCAAACTAATAAACATGACTGCTTTCAGCAACAGCCCTCAAAAGACTTGAGAGAGGAAGAAAGCCACAGAGCAGAGAGGCAGGGCTCTCTTTGAATTCAGCGGCAGGAGGAGACAATTGATTAGCACCGGATAGATGGTCACCCCAGCCCAGAATGGTCCCTCCCAGCCAGACCTGTGTGCGAGACTATAAAAACTCCAGCAGTTCAAGTGGACAATACTGGGCTAGACAGAGAAATAGGTTGACCTGCTTCTTGTGCACGTTTTGATTCATAGAAAATGCAATTTTTGGCTCCCCATGTTGGATTTTGCAAGAATAGGCTGTTTTCTTGGCTTCCCAACCTCCCTTTGGACCTCTTTCAGAGATTTCAAAGATGACACAGCCGTGGTCTCACTTCCTCTCACGTCCCGGTTCGCCCTACCCTTAGAGTAAGGCGAGGTGGCTGCCCCAGGCGGCAGTTTTGGAGTATTGTGAACGGGCAGGAAAATTTCAATTATTGGAAATCTTACTGTAAAGTAAAGGGAGAGGAACTTGTGAGATTTTCCAGATGCTCAAGTCATATAGCTGGTTTTGGGAACCCCTTGCCTTCATTTGCTCTGGGGGGGGCACACTTCTTGCTCTTCCATCTCAGCCATCATAATTTATGGAGATGTGTATGGACTAGAAAGAAGTAGGGTATGATCCTGTTGCATTCTGCTTTGAGACAACAAAGCATCATATGGGGCATTCTGCAGAGGGAAGGGAAAACAGCAACGCCTGAGGGAAATTAATTTGTTTCCTGGAAGGTTAGATGTCTAGTTACTTTTGGCATATTATCCTCAGTACAGAGCATCCAACAGCAGAAGAGTAATTTGTGAAGCAGGCAAAGAAGGCGCAGTAAAAGTCACCAATTAACCTCTTCCAGGAGGGTAATCTGTCTTATTAAACTTTTCCCTTGATCTGCAGGTTCCCCCTCTCAATTCCTGTTAGTGCCAAACTGCAGTTAAATACAGTTCTGCCTAACTTTTCCTTCATCTTTTCTTTTTTAAAAATAAAATGCAGCCAGTAGAGTGAGGAGTGGAAGAAGGGGGCATGAAAAAAAAAACGTGGGTGCAGCCCTTTCATTACCAGCTATTTTCCCCTTCAAGAGTGCTTCCCAGTGGAGGACTGGTTTTGTAGCTTCCAGCGGCTTAGATAGAGATGGGCACAAACCACCGAATCTGTGGTTTGTTTTTTTGGCCGAACACAGTGGAGGACTGGTTTTGTAGCTTCCAGCAGCTTAGATAGAGATGGGCACAAACCACTGAATCTGTGGTTTGGGTTTTTTTTTGGCCGAACCAGTGTTTGGCACTTCCCAGCCCTGCCTCCCCCAGCAGGCACCCACTCAGGGGCAGCACTCAGAGGAGGCAGAGCAGGGTAGCCAGGGTGCTGCCTCTGAGTGGGCGCACACCAGAGGAGGCGGAGCCGGGAAGCACCAAACGTCTGTTCAGCCAAAAAGCGAACTGTCATGAACCTCTACTTAGGATGGTTAGTGGAACTTATTGCAACACAGTGTGTTGTCCTTAGTTGCTATATTCCTTAATGTCAGAAATGTTACTGTTCTAGATTACAGCCTTCCCTGCCCATGATGGCTGGGATGCTGCAAGTTGGCCCCAAGAGTAACTTTTCTAGGTTTTATTAAGGATTATGTCCAGCCTTTAAAACTCTTCAAGTGGCAATGCTTAAAAGTCCAAGAGCTGAATTTTAAGCCAGGATACATCGTTTCCCCAAATACAGTTCAACCTAAGGGCTATGTCAAATGGTAATTAGCCTTATCTATTCAAACAAACTCCCCCCACACACTTTTTGCAACATTTTTAATTAGTCATACAGAGATCGGTACTGCATGTGTGCCCTTGGGCATGTGCAGAGTGCCTCTTCCGCACCACTGTGCCAATTTATAACCCGCCTCTATGCTGCTGAGAAGAGGTGTTCTGAGGTCACGTCAAGTGAATCTGGGGATCCAGCACGTCCTACTGTTTAGAAATGTCAGCAATGCACAGAGGCCTTGGAGGGAGAAAATGTTGGTGTACTGGGTGAGTGCAGTCAGCAGACTGGAGTTGATCTGAGTTGTCAAATAAAATGAAAGGCTTGCATGCAGAAGGTGGGGTGGATTTGTCCTATGTTACTAAAAAGGGCAGGAATTAAACACAAATGGGTAGAAATTGCAGGGAAGGAGATCTTGGGCGAAACTTCCTGCTTCTTAAGGGAACAGATTGCTGTGGAGCAGGGGGTGACTTTTGCTGAAATTACACCAGCAGATGCTGGCTAGGGCTGATGGGAGCAGGAGCCCAAACTGGAGGGCCAAAAGGACTCCCTGCTGTAACTGCATCCTGTAACGGGAGAGCTTGTGTTGAACTTTGGATTGGGTTTGTTGCAGAGTTCTGGAGTATTGGTTGAAACCCTAATTTACTCTGAGGCACTGACAGATGAAAGATTAGGTATTCTTCAGTCTCGAGAGCATATGGTATCGTGCTTTGTATGGAGGACTTGGAACAGCATCTAGTGTGGCTGAGAAGGCCAATTCGAGAGTGACCATCCCTTCCACTCTGAGACAAACACAATCTGTCTCCTGTCCAGCTCCCTGATTTTGCTGCTTCTGGGACTGCCTCTTTGCCTCAGCCTGCTGGACAAGGATCTCTTCAAATTGGGAGAGGCCATGATGCAACACCTGCCTCCAGGCTGAACGGTCAGATGTCAAGGTTTCACATCTGCTGAGGTCCATTCCTAAGGCCTTCAGATCCCGCATGCAGATATCCTTGTATCGCAGCTGTGGTCTCCCTCGGGGGCGATTTCCCTGCACTAATTCTCCATACAGGAGATCTTTTGGAATCCAATGATGAAAGAATAAAAGATTTACAACTGAACAGATCAAGCAGCAAGTTGACAAACACGGCTATTTCAGCAAACCAACTTCAACGAACTCTAGAGACGAGGAGAGCATAGAGCAGAGGGGCAGGGCTCTCTTGAATTCAGAGGCAGGAGGGGGAAAACTGTGTAGTGCCGGATAAATTAACCGTCATCCCAGCCCAGGGATATCCCAGGCTCAAACCCTGGCATCTACATTTAGAAGGCTCATGCAGCAGGTGATGAAAAATACTTCTCCTTCAGACCCTGGGAAGATGCTGCCAGTCAGAGTAGACTATACTGGGCTAAATGAACAGTCCAACCTCTTGCTGGCAGGAGAGTACGTATGTCTGCAGTATGTCCAGGTACAACTAAAAGGTGGACACTGAATTGAAAGTCTTCTCCTCTCCTGCTTTGTTTTCTTCCCACGCAGTACAAGCAAGTGGAACAGTATATGTCCTTCCATAAACTCCCAGCAGAGATGCGCCAGAGAATCCATGACTACTATGAACATCGCTATCAGGGCAAGATGTTTGATGAGGAAAGCATCCTGGGAGAACTGAGTGAACCCCTGAGGGAGGTGAGTAGTGCAAAAACGGGGCACTAGGGATTGGAAGTGTCTTAGAACTCTAAGGAGTGGGAGGATGAGTAATTTGATTAAAAGAATCTTAGAGAGAGGCATAATAAATCAAGCCAATCAAAAGGAATGTTTCTTGATTCATGTATTGGTTTGATTCAATACACATAGAGTGGTGCCTTGCTTAACGATTGCTTTGTTAAATGATGAAACCGCTATACGATGACCGTTTTAACAGACAAAATCCGCTTTGCGACAATCGGTTCCCTGCTTTGGGAACCTATTCTTCACATTACGATGATTTTAAAACAGCTGATCGGCGGCATCAAAATGGCCGCCCGCTGTGTAAAATGGCTCCCCACTGTGTTTTTGGACGGATTCCTTGCTATACAGGCACCGAAAATGGCCGCCCCATGGAGGATCTTCGCTGGACGGTGAGTTTTCAGCCCATTGGAACGCATTGAACAGGTTTTCAATCCGTTTCAATGGGATATTTTATTTCGCTTAACGAGGATTTCACTCTACAGCAATTTCGCTGGAACAGATTATCCTCGTTAAGCGAGGCACCACTGTACACTTTTACATGGGGGCAGTAGTTATACACTAACAGCCAGCCCTGCCGTTAGGCAGAGTGTGCCAAAGACTCCGGGCAACGGATGGTGGGGAAACTTGTTGACTAGCTGTCCCACTTCAGCCGAGAAGGTGCACCTTTTAGAGGGCCAAAATACTCATCTGAACACTTCCAGTTTTGGAAAAAAGAAGAAGAAACAGGGGCAACCTATCGTGGTCTTGGGGGGGTGCAAAATGGTATGCATGCAGCCCCCAGACCCCCTGCAGCTCCTGGCCCCTGTTCTAGAGACAGAGAACAAAAACTAAACTAGGCAGGGCACTAGATTTGCCACAATACATCTTTATTTGTTGGAACATCATCAAACATTCTGCTTCCGAAGCTGCAGCCTTTTAAAAACGCCGAGTCTGCTCAGCCAGCTTTGCAAAGGAAGCTTGTGTTTATCTTCCAGCGACCAATCGCCAGACAAAATAAGTTGATTTACAACTTGCAGGGCGGTGGAACCTTGTGTTAGGATATACAAAGAAGTAGAAAGGTTCTAGAAAGAACTTTTCTGTATAGCCTCCATTGTGATCTGAAACTGCCTACAAGCTAAAGCTGGTTCCGACTGATCATTTAGGGCTTTTGTTGATTTTCTTTATTCGCCTCTCTGTTGGATGTAGATGTGATTTCTTTTCAGTGGCATTTATTTTTGGTACCCGTGATATTTGTTACATGCCCTTTCGAGACCCAGCGGGCTGCCTTTGAGTGGAAGTTAAATACTTCAGTGCACAAACGGAAGCTTCGCATCTTCACTGAACTCTTTCTCATGACCAGGAGATCATCAACTTCAACTGTCGGAAGCTGGTTGCCTCCATGCCGCTGTTTGCCAACGCAGACCCCAATTTCGTCACTTCCATGCTGACGAAGCTGCGTTTCGAGGTGTTCCAGCCTGGGGACTACATCATCCGGGAAGGGACCATCGGGAAGAAGATGTACTTTATCCAGCACGGGGTGGTCAGCGTGCTCACCAAGGGCAACAAGGAGACCAAACTGGCTGATGGTTCCTACTTTGGAGGTAAGGAAGCATTTCTGTGCAGCTGAAGTATCTCCTGTCCTAGGTTCACAGCAACCTCCAGGAGGAGGAGCACAGCAAAAGGAGGAAAGGTGGGTATCTGATGAGGTCCGGTGTCTGCACTGTGACCTCTGCTCAGAACACAGCATCTCTGATGACTTTCAGGGATCCATCAAGAGACCAAAGTCATTCATACAGACATTTCCCCGTTGGGGTGCACGGGTGGAAAGCAAAGGGAGGCACCTCCAACATTGCACCAAAAGCCAAGATTTGGAAAAGTTATGGTTCTTAATTAGGCTTCCCAGAATCCCCTGGCTAGCTTGGCATATGGACACGTTGGTCTTGGTAGAGTGTGGATTTGTGTGTGTGTGTGTGTGTGGCTTAAAAAAAAAAATCTAGCATCACAGTGGAAAAAGTTCAAAAGACCTACAGAGCAGAATGGGCTTCAAGTCTCCTCAGACCACCCCTTATTGCTTCGTTCTCCTCAGCTGGTACTTACAGTCTTGATAATTCACTCTCAGACACTAGTAAGATGAAGAACAGTTGGTAACTGCTGGATTGATTGATTGATTGATTGATTGATTGATTGATTGATTGATTGATTGATTGATTGATTGATAACCACCCAAACCCAGAAGAGTCCCTTCTAGCTAAACCTTTTTAAAAGCATCATATGAAGGTTGCAATATTTCCAACAGTTGGTGTTGGATTCTGGCAGTCACGGTCTAAGAACCAAATTTTGTTCTGCTACAGAGCTTGGGGATGATTCTCCCATCATCAGCACCAGGAAAGACAAGTTCCTGAACAGTCTCCCTTCCCTTACCCTGTGGTTGCCATGTTGGACATCCAGCTGAGTTAGACTGCAAAGGCATGGATGATGATGCTTTCTAGTTAGGCAGGTGGAAGAAGAGATAAACCAGGATCCCACCCCTTGCAAATGAAGGCAAATAACATGATAATGCAACAAGTAATTTTAGTGGAGGTCTCTCTAACCTTAAAACCCATTCTACTGTTGATGTCAGAGAAATCCAGAACTTGGGAGTCACACTGCCCCCTACTGGCAAATTGCAAACTTTCAAGACTCCGCATATTTACAATTCAACCCACACATATTTACTTCATTAATTTACCCGCAGTGGCTGCTTCGAAAGGAATCCTGACAATTGTTCTATACCGTTGTCTGCTCTGTCCGAAGAGTGCAACCTTTATTGACCTTTGAGAGAACATAGCAGCTACAACTACGGCAAGACCCATTTAAAGATAAACATGAAATGCTCCTCACGTTGTTAAACTGAAACTGGACCTGCTGCTGTCAAATACATTTGCCGAACCCTTGTGAAACGAGGCCCTAAAGAGTTAACACACCATTTTACAGCAGTTTGCTGTTTGAAATCTTCTAGATCTAAGCTAGGGCATGGCAGGTGAAGGTGACTAGACCCTTAATAGCTACCCTTCTCTCTAAATTGCAAAATTCGTCAAATATCGTTAATTTGTCGATTCATGTTCGGCTGAATCAATGGCACTGATGAATGCGAATCAACGAATTTTTAGTGATTTTTGATTTATTGATTCATTGGGCTATAAAACAGGCCCCAGGCACCTAGAGACATCGAAATCACAGAGAAGCTTCCCCTGACTGTCCTCTACAATCCCTGCAAGTTTGGCAAAGATTGGGTTTCTCTCAGGCCAGCTGCTGAAGGGCACTTTCCTGGGGGGGACCCATTTTATGAGTCTATAACTTGGATGTCCAAAACCGAATATTCGCCAATCTTGGGCGAATTGTAGGGGAGAGTCAGGGGAAGCTTCTTTGCGATTTTGGTGTCTCTAGGTGCTTGAGAGATCATTCGGGGGGGGGGCTCTTTGTGAGTGTATAACTTGGGCATCCAAAACCCAGTCTTGACCAAACTTGGAGGGATTTTTTTTTGGCAGAAGAAATTTGAAAATTCTTTATTCATGATTCATTGACCTTGATGAATCATGAATCAAAACAAATTGCCATATTTCTGATTCATGCCCATCTCTAATTGGGATCCAACCTCTTGCAACTAAAGGCAAAAGGCACGATAATGCAAAGAGTAAGGTCAATGCAGGAGCCCCTATCTTTTTGCTGTTATTAAAGAAAGAAAGCACTTGGGACCCATACTGTCCCCCCTACTGGCAGGAAACAGAATTGCTCAGTAAGCCTGGACTCGGGAAAACTTTCCAGGTATATGTATATACTGGTGCCTTGCTAGATGATGATAATCTGTTCCACTGAAATCGCTGTTTAGTGAAGTCATTGTCTAGCGAAAAGCATTTCCCCATTGGAATGCACTGAAACCTGTTTAATGTGTTCCAATGGGGAAGAATCGTCTTTTGGTGTCTCTAGGTGCCTTGGGGGCTCTTTGCGGGTGTATAACTTGGGCATCCAGAACCCAGTCTTCAACAAACTTGGAGGGATTTTTTTTTCGGCAGAAGAAAATTGAAAATTCTTTATTCGTGATTCATTGACCTTGATGCATCATGAATCAAAACAAATTGCCATGTTTCTGATTCATGTCCATCTCTAATTAGGATCCAACCTCTTGCAACTAAAGGCAAACAGCATGATAATGCAAAGAGCAATGTCAATGCAGGAGCCCCTATCTTTTTGCTGTTATTAAAGAAAGAAAGCAGTTGGGACCCATACTGCCCCCCCTACTGGCAGGAAACAGAATTGCTCAGTAAGCCTGGACTCGGGAAATCTTTCCAGGTATATGTATATACTGGTGCCTTGCTAGATGATGATAATCTGTTCCACTGAAATCGCTGTTTAGTGAAGTCATTGTCTAGCGAAAAGCATTTCCCCATTGGAATGCACTGAAACCTGTTTAATGCGTTCCAATGGGGAAGAATCGTCATTGTCTGGCAAAGATCGGCCATAGGAAAGCCGCTTTGCGAACCACCGATCAGCTGTTTAATCGCTGTCTTGCGAAGCTTAGGTCCCGAAAACACCTGTTTTGTGAGCGTGGAGGGAGCGGTCAAAATCGTCGTCCAGCAAAAATCGTTTTGTGAAGAAGGGACCAAACATTGTCCAGCGAAATTCCCCCATAGGAATCACTGTTTTGTGAATCGCTATAGCGATCGCAAAAAGTCGATGTCTAGCAAAAAAAACTGTCAAGCGGGGTAACTGTCTAGCAAGGCACCACTGTATATACAATTCATTGTATCTGACAAATCAGAGATAATGGAGAGGCAGTTTTAGAAACAATCCTTAAGCGTCTTTTGCTCACATCGTTCCACCCTGGACAATCCTGACCAGCCCTGGCCCAGAGGTGGTTAAGTCAGGCCAAACAGTGTCACTGGTAGCCCAGGGGGACGTGGCTTCTGCAAGGTATGGCGTGACCTTCACCTCCCACTAGCTTGAGCAGAGGTGATTAGCATGCGGCCAACGCTTCAGGCAGGCCTCGGATGATTCTGGATAACAGAACCCAAGTGGCTTATTAAATGAATGAATGACTGAGTGGGAGCGAGGAAGAAGCAGAGCTGAAATTAGCAAGATAACATTTCACCCAATAAGCAAGAGAAGAAGTGCAGTTACATAATTCTTTGGACAGAAGGCGGGGGGGGATGTATCCCGGGGGGGTTGATGTGACAAGGAAAATACAAACAAGGCAGCGCCAAATACATTTAAGAGGGTTGTACTACCAGCAAGATTGAGCAGATCCAAAGGAAGGGAACCACTTCTCCAAAGCCTGGCTAGGTTTACCTTGGCAAGACAGAAAGAACAGTGTAATTTTTTGTCCCATCTTTTTTTTTTCTTCTTGTTGAAACAAGTTAGGAGGAAATGATACACATACCAGTTCTGTGATCATGGGGGTTTTAAAATATCGATGTACCTATTGCTTCAATTAAATTTTTATCCAAGGGCTAGAGATAAATAGTTTAACACAATTCTGGCCACCCTTTTGCACTGATTATTTGTTGTTGTCGACACGGGTGGAAGGATGTCGTATCTGAAGCCTCCGGAAGGTTGCAATGTTTTTTTAAACGTAGTCATGAAAAGCGGGCCAAAGATCTTAGTGAACAGGTCGCGATCTAAATTTGTTTCTGATTCATGACCTGACTCGATGATTAAAAAAAATATACCAGGTTTAAATGTTAATAAACTTAACTGTGCCAGTTGATTTTTATTACTGTTATAACTTGGTAGTATCACGTGCAATTTGGGTGCAGTTTCTTTTGTTTCCCTTGCAAATGACAAACTGTCTGTGGACTAAATAAATTCAGTATAGTATCAGACATCATCAGAATGCAAGTGTGCATTCTGCCTGCTCCTGGCGTGCCTTTTTTTGCCTTTTTTACTGGCATTTCAGAGTTCTGCATAGGCCATGCTGGAAATATTTTAATAAATCCTAATTGGAGAAACAAGGGTCTCAAGGCCAGCCTTGCTGGAGTGGTCGGCTGCCAGGGGGGGCGCAGAGTGGGGCCGGCCAGGCTCCCACCCGGATTGGTGCATCATTGCCAAAGAGGGACCCCAGCGACATGTGGAGCCCAGTTAGCCGGCTGGATGGCCTGGGGGGGGAAGGGAATCCACACTACCTGTGCTTCTGTGCTTCGTCTGGGAAACGAATAACGAGGCTCCCATGTCTAAATATCGTACAGGCTGGCATGTGGGCTCAGATCCGCCCACCCAAAGGCTGATCTTCATCTCAGTCCTTAGAGGTGGAAATCTGATCTTCTCTGCGATCCTTTTTCCTGCAACCAATTTGATATAATTGCAACAGTGACCACGAAATACACTTTGATAGATATATAAAAAATCAGCCTGCCGTCTGTGTTTGTGGATATACAGCTCAAAAGAGTTGATAGAAATTCAGGATCCAACTGTTCCTTTTCAATCAGTGGTTTGCAACCATGGGTCCCCAGATGTTCTTGGACTTCAGTTCCCAGAAATCCTGGCCAGCCCAGCTAGTGGTGAAAAGGCTTCTGGGAGTTTTAATCCAAGAACTTTTGGGGACCCCAGGTTGGGAATCCCTGCTCTAGATCCCCAGGCTATGATCCTAAAAATGTTTATTATAGAAAAGTTCCACTGGATATGTTGGTTGACATGTTTCAGAATACCCTGCCAAACGAGTGCGATAAATTATTTTGATTCCACGTATCATTGGGGTCCTTCTTTGGCAGCGACGCACCAGTCTTGAGTCATGAGATTGCTTGCTTTGCCTCGAACATTTAGGATGATGGCTTTTCCCACATCACACACCGAGAGTGAGAAGGGATTGCAGGATCATACCTGCGAGTAGAATACCCTGCCTTACTCCGTGTATGGATCGAGCATCGGTGGTGACGTTATTTGCCAGGTCCCGCTATGAACACTGGAAAAAGAAAATGAGTAGGTGAGGCGTCTATATGGCAAATAGGTTTCAAGATGTTGTCTCCTTCTAGAAATTTGCCTGCTGACCCGTGGCCGGCGCACAGCAAGTGTGAGAGCGGACACTTACTGCCGTCTTTACTCCCTCTCGGTGGACAACTTTAATGAAGTGCTGGAGGAGTACCCCATGATGAGGAGGGCTTTTGAAACCGTTGCGTTGGACCGGCTGGACAGAATTGGTAAATAGAGTGTTCGGTAGACCTGTTTTTCATTTTCCAAGTGTCATTTGGGAGGGGAATTGAAAACGGGATGCCCAAATCAACCTCTAAAGACTCTCAGGTCTTGCTTTTTTTTAAAAAGCAAGTTTCCTCTGTGTGAAGCGCATACAAGCACATGAAAATATACATATTTAATTTTTCAAAAAGTTTTCTGAACAAGTCAGACAAGCAAGAAATAATTTTAACATGTAAAAACAAGTTGATGGTACACGTAGTCAGACATCACCCACTGGAGGGAGATGCGGTCCCTGGTTCTGATCTAGCCGGAGGTTGTTATGTTTGGATCTTGATGGATAAAGCTGCCATTTTTAATTTCTCTCCGTCCCCCATTTTTCCCCTCATTCTTGCATAGGGGTTGTTCCAGTTCTGCATAAGCTTGTGAACTTAAACAGTTGCATGAGCATCTGCGCACAATGCTTCTAATTTACACATTTTAGCAAGCAGTGTTCCCTAATATCATGCATTTTTGTACAATATTTTTAGGAACACATAACAGTAGGACCCCCCCGTATCCACAGGGGATAGTTTCCAAGCCCCCTCCCCCATGGATTCTGAAAAACAAGGATTATAACAAATGCTATTTTAATAGCAAATGCTGTACATAACATGGTTTCTGACTTCCTCTAGTGGCCAATTGTGGTAACTTCATCTTCAGAAATATATATTTCTAGGATTTTTCTTTTACTATTTTTAAT